CTACTACTGAGCTATCACCCCAACCTCTAAATAGATTTAATTATTTATTTTGTTAAGATTTATTTTAATTATATGCATGTGTGTATATCTCTACATGAGTATGTTTATGTGCATCCAGGAGCCCAACGTAGCCAAAAGAGGATGTCACATCTCCTGAAACCTCATAGCTATCCTCCTTTGCTGCGTGAGAGCAGAAGCTATTCTGCCCTCCTGTCCAACTGCTCGGCCTTGCCTGTTGGCCTCCTCTCTCCATCTTCCCTCCTAATGCCCTGCTTGGGCTCTCGTTATTCTATTTTCTAATAGTTTAATTTTCTACATATACAAGGTAGGTGTGAACTGAACCAGAGTCTCACGGAGGAGAAGTATACGCTATTAACTGCTGAGCCATCTCTTCAACCCCACTCCTATATATTTTAAAAGAGACTTTAAGCCAGGCATGGTGGCACACAGCTTTAATCCCAGTACTCCTGAGGCAGAGGCAGGCAGATCTCTGAGTTTGAAGACAGCCCGATCTACAGAGTGAGTTCCAGGACAACCAGGGTTATGTAGAGAGACTTTGTCTTTAAAAATAATAATAATAAATACAGAGAGAGAGAGAGAGAGAGAGAGAGAGAGAGAGAGAGAAACTTTAAAAGTAAATCTTGTTTACTTAACTCTGCACAAAACTCAAGTCCAAGTGGATCAAAATCCTCAACATAAATCCAGATACACTAAACCTGATAGAAGAGACAGTGGGAAGTAGCCTTGAATGCATTGGCACAGGAGACAACTTCCTGAACAGGACACCAATAACATAGACACTGAGATCAACACTTAATAAACAGGACTTCATGAAGCTGAAAAGGACACCAACAGTAGGACAAAATACAGAATGGAAAAAGATCTTCACCAGCCCCACATCTGATAAGGGACTGATTTCCAAAATGTATAAAGAACTCAAGAAACTAGACATCAACAAACCAAATTATCCAATTAAAAATGGAGTTCAGCTCTAAACAGAAAATTCTCAACAGAAGAATCTCAAATGGCTGAGAAACACTTAAGGAGATGTTCAACATCCTTAGCCATCAGGGAAATACAAATCAAAACGACTCTGAGATACCATCTTACACCTGTCAGAATGGCCAAGATCAAAACCACAAGTGACAGCTCATACTGGAGAGGATATAGAGCAAGGGGAACACTCCTCCATTGCTGTTAGGAGTACAAACTTGTCCAGTCACTTTGGAAATCAGTATGGCAATTTCTTAGAAAACTGGGAATCAATTTATCACAAGAGCCAGATATACCACTCTTGGGCATATAACCACAGGATGCTCAATCATACCTCAAGGACACTTGCTCAACTATGTTCATAGCAGCATTATTTGTAATAGCCAGAAACTGGAAACAACTTAGATGTCTCTCAACCGAGGAATGAGTAAAAAAAAAAAAATGTGGTACATTTACACAATAGAGTATTACTCAGCTGTTAAAAACAATGACATCATGAAATTTGACGTCAAATGGATGGAACTAGGAAAAAAGTCGTCTTGAGTGAGGTAACCCAGATGCAGAAAGACCAACATGGTGTGTACACACTTGTAAGTGGGTATTAGTTGTTAAAGTAAAAGTTAAAACTATACTTCAATCTACAGACCCAGAGAGACTAGTGAACAAGGAGAGTTCAAGTGGGGGGGGGGATGCCCAGATCTCCCTGGGAAGGAGAAATAAAAGGGATTTCATTAGTAGACTGAGGATAAATGGGGTGGGAACATGAGTGATCGGGTTGGGAGGGGGCACTGTAGGGGTCTGGCGCTAAGGGGACAGCTGTAGCGGACAGCATTTCAGGTTGGGTGGAAGCCTGAAACATGGGAATCTCCCAGGAGTCTACCGGGAGGACCCCAGTGTAGACTCCTAGCAATAGTGGGTAAGCATCCTGCACTGGCTGTCTCCTGTGACCAGATTGGTGCCTGGCTCAGCTGTCATCAGAGAGGAGTCATTCAGCAACTGATGGAGGCAATGCAGAGAGCCACAGCCAAACATAGGGCAGAGTTCGGGAATCCTGCAGAGGAGGAGGAGGAGAAAGGAGCATAGGAGCCAGAGGGGTCAAGGACACCATGTGAAGCTCACACCATCAACTAACCTGGGCTCACAGCCACAACTGAATCTAAACTAGCAACCAGGGAGCCTGCATGAGACTGACCTAGGCACTCTGTATATGATACAGTTGTGTAGCTTGGTCCTCTTGTGGGACCCCTAACTGTGGGAACAGGGGCTGTCTCCAACTCTTTTACTGTCTTTTGGGACCCTACTCCTCCTGCTGGGTCGCCTTGCCCAGCCTTAACACATGCTTAGTCTTACCGCAACTTGTTATGCCCTGTTTTATTGATACTCTGGGTGGACACGGGGAAGGAATGGGTTGGGGGTGGGAATGAGGGTGGGGTTGAAGGAAGAGGCTGGGAGAACAGGAAGGAGGGGAAACTGTGGACGGGACTTTTAAAAAAGTAAATCTTGTTTAATTAAAAATTAAATAATATTAGATGAAATGTATTTTATTGTAGTATACATGAAATGATATTCATAAAAATTAAATAATGAAGCATAAGAAACTAAATGTCTTTTTGTGATAGTCTATGTCCCAGATAAATGGCCTCTCTACTGTAAAGCAGACAGAAAAAGGATAAGGGCATCATGGTACCACCTCATTCCTCGAGCCCAGTACGCGTGAAAACAGCCCAGGTAGAAGAGAAGAAACAGTGGCCGCCATTGCTCTACCTCAGGTGCTCGGGGCTCTATACCAAGCAGCTTATCAACTTCTGATCTGCTATTTCTCCATAGATAAGGAAGCAGGAGGCCCAAGCAGTTGAGGAACTCTTCTGAGGTAACAGGATGACAAATGACAGAGCAAGGGATGGAGCCCCATCTGATTCCCAAGCAAGGCTCTTAACCACTCTAATGAGACCAATACTGAGCTACTGCGCTTTAATTGCTGCTGTAACTTCTTAGCTTCGCCTCGGAGGTGAGTCAGGAGGCATAGGATGCTGGGCAGGCAAGGACAGGCCAGTGACTTCTTTATCAGGGCAAAGGGGAGAAAGGCTGTCCCAATCCCCGACTCTCCTTGTTGCATTGCAAGAGAATGCCTAGTTTCCCAGACACAGACTTCTGGGAAGAAGGTGGTACCAGGAAGAGGAAGGAGAGAAAGAACTAGTATCTAAGGAACAGTGGGGCTTGGGGGAAGGGGGAAACGGGGAGGCTAGTGTCGGGTAGAGAAATCCTGGCGAAATCCTGGCGCCCTTGGCTGCTCATCACCTGTGACTCCGAGAAGGGTCACCAGAAGAGGCCCCATACCTTCACAGAGCAGTCACCTTGACTAAGGGGTGGAGCCATGCTCTCGTGAGGGCTGGGCCACCCCACAGCGTCCCTCACAAGTTACATTATGAGGCTGAGTTGCGGGGTGTGGTGGATGCTAGCGTATATGTATGAAGTGGCATCTTTAGAAACAGGCATGATGACTTTGTGGTTGAGGCTCAGGATGGATTCACCAAGTCAGGGACCAGACAGAGGGGAGGAGAGAGACCAGAAAGGCCTGCAGGAGGTGAGGGGGTCCATGACCTATGCGACCACCTCTCACTGCCGGAGAGGTCACACAAAGTGTGAATCACCATGCCTTCCCAAATCCTGGCAGTCAACCGAGGGACGCAGAAAGATAACCTGTGTTACCTAAAGACGCCCCTTGGCTTTTGTACAGTACTACATTTATCAGATGGAACTTGTTCAAGATGTTCCCTTCCCTGCCCAATAGGCAGGGCTGTGAGAAGACCAAATCAGTACGCTCCCTCAGACTCCCTCTGAGTTGCACACGGCCATACGAACAGCACTGCTGCACCACTGTGTGGACTGTGTATCTGAGCACTCGGTGCGGTTTGTCCCAGGCACACTCTGCTAGATCTGTCACAAGCACGACTGTACTCTTTCTTCTCAGTAACCCATGGACAGAAATAGATACTCATCTCTTTTAGTCCCTGTTCTGTCACTGTGGAGAAACACCATGACCACAGCAACTCTCATAAGAGAAAGCAGGTTTTATAGGGTGTTTGCTTACAGTTTCAGAGGCTTGGTCCGTCATGAACATAGTGGACAGTATGGCGGCAGGTATGGCAAGTAGGATGCTAGAGAAGTAGTTGAGAGCTATATCCTGATTTATAGGCAGAGAGAGAGAGAGAGAGAGAGAGAGAGAGAGAGAGAGAGAGAGACTGGGCCTGGGCCTGGCTTGGGCTTTTGAAACCTCAAAGCCCACGCCCAGTGGCATATTTCTCCAACAAGGCCACATCTCCTAATCCTTCTAATCCTACCAAAGAATTCCACTCCCTAGTGACTAAGAATTCAAATGTAGGAGCCTATGGGGGTCATTCATATTCAAACCACCACCTCAGCAAAACTACCTGTGTGACCTTGAAAAAAATGTTCCATACCAGGGCTGGAGAGCTGGCTTGGCCCTTCAGCACTGGCCTCTCTTCCAGAGGACCTGTGTTTGGACAACCACTTGGAGCTGTAACTCCAGCTCCAAGGGGGGAGTCTGACGCCCTCTCCTGGCCCTATGGATAATTGTACACATGTGACACACAGATATACACTTACATAGATACACACTTACACAGAGCTTTCAAAAAGTCTTAAAGGAAAAAAAAAGCAGCCTACTTCTCCGAGCTTTAGAGTCTCATCAGATGCAGCTGTGAATCCCTGCCTGGCAGAGTAGCAGATACACAGAAGGCATCAGTAAAAGGCTACGACCTCTGACCTCTGTTAACTGGTTTTTCTGAACACCGGGAAGTAAGGACAGGTAGGTAATTAAGGTGGGAGAGGGGCCACCTCCAGAATAGAGAGAAGCAAACAAAATATGACATCTATATGAAATGAACAAAATATGACCTCTGCAAGAATGCAAGTGATCTTATTCAGAGTCGTGGGCGGGGCGGAGGGGGATGACAGGAGCCCTTCCCCTCAGAACCCAGAGGTACCTGAGAGCCGCAAGGAGCCATGGGAAGTAAAGGTGGGCACACAGCCGTTTCCAGGTCCTGTGTATCTTCAAATCCACTGCAGTTTCTTCCTGGCCTACTGTCTTCTTCCCCTTGTGGGCTCTGTGGGACGAACATGTTGGTTTCTACACCATGGCAGCCTTCTGGGGCTTGGATCGTTCCAGCCATGTCTGCATCATTTGGAGCACAGAATAGACTGCGCAGAGTTGAAGCTGATTCTTAAGAGCAAGGTGTCCTTGTGGGGCGTCCTTCGGGGGGCGTCAGGAGTTTTGTGAGAAAACAATGGTGCCATCAGGTTCCTCCTGGAGAAATGTTAGGTGAATTATTAAGGAGGGAGGGGAGGAGGTCACAGCTTTGCTAAGGGAGCTCCCCTCTCGGAAAATGCTTCTACCATCATTGGTGAAAGAAAGGCTCCCTGGCGTGCAGAGGGTCAGCAGGCAGCTAGCACTGTGTGCAACCCACACCAGGTAGTGTTTGTTAAGGGGAGACCTGCCTTTCAGGGCCACGTGATTCAGGCTCGGGGCTGTCTCCAGCTCTGCACTGGAGAAGCTATTTTAAGTGCGAAACTCAATATGTCACAGGGAGGGTGGGGGTGGGGGAGGATGGTGGAGCGGCCGAGGCTAGCAGGTCCTAAAGGAGACTGTATTCCCCGGGAAGATAAAGCCATTGCTCAGCTGTTGCTGTTGCTCAGCGCCCCCAGATCTTTATTTTGAGTCCTGAAAACAAATACCCACCTCTAGACTTGGAGCTGAAGGTTCACCCTGCCTCTCATTCTTCTCTTTCTTTGGTTTGATGAATGATATCAGCTTTAAAGAGAATGCATCGTGGTACTACATTTAAAATTACAAAAGCAAAGCAAGCCAGGCCCTCTAGAATAAATAGCAGGCGGCTCTCCTGACCACTGAGGCTGAGCCATCTCTCTAGGGCGCTAACAAAGCACACTGGCTTAGGTTTTCCCTTTCTCTGGGGTTTGGAGACTGCAGAGCTGTGGCCACTGTAGGCCAGGAAATAGAAAAAGAAAACTGGGCAATATCAGATGTGGACATAGCACTTTATATTATCTTTTATTTGTCACAAAAGAGAGAGAAAGCTTGAATTGAGAGAGGAAAAAAAATCTATGGATGAAGGATTCTGCGACTAGAAGGGCATTTGAAGCCAGGTTATCTTGAAGTTAAAGAGAAAGCCACAGGGAAGACCCAGAAAACCCCTGATTCCAAGTGAATCGTGTGTGTGTGTGAGAGAGAGAGAGATTAGAAAACTTCCTTAAAATTTTTCTTGCATGCATGTGTATGGGTATGTGTGTGCTCATGCACGTGTGTGTGTGTGCATGTGTTCATGCAAGTGTTGAATTGGCAAGTACATAGGGAGGCCAAAGGTCAATTCTGGACGTCTTCCTCAGTCACTTACTTATGAGACAGGGTCTCTCATCAAACCCAGAGCTTACTAATTCAGCTAGAGTGGCCAGTCGGCAAGTCCCTGGGATCCACTTGTCTCTGCCCTCATTCCCAAAGTGTTGGAGTTACAGATGAACGTTGGGGATTTTTAGTGGATTTTGAGGAGTTGAGCTTAAGTCCCCCTGCCTACACGGCAGGCACTTTACCTCCTGAGCCATCTCTCCAGCCCCAGAAGCAAATGTTGGAACCTGATGAAGTCAAAAGGAAGCTTAGGCACCTCAATGTATTCTCTGCCTGTCCTAGGCAAACTTTTGTTCCTTGGCACTCTGCCCACTCCACCCATTAGAATAAGACCTAGAATGACACTGGTGCATGGGTACAGGTAGCTGACCAGTCTGATCTGGTACCAGTGTGTGTGATGACCAAGCATGGTGAAGCTCCATAGAGAGCAACTCACTGTACCTGAAAGGCTAGCGACCAGGCCTCATAGGATGCGCCTGTGATTTAACCCTTAAATATCCCCTATAGGCTCATGTTTTGGTCACTTGTTCCTGTCTGGTCGGAAGCATCACGCCAGCCCCTGGCATCCATTTGGGAATGTTGGGTGAAAAGCTCCATTTCGAGTCTCCTCCCCTGGGACTTGCCTCAGTCCAAACTCCACCTCCGAGAAAGTCCGCCAAATGGTGACCCCTCCCCAAAGAGGGTCAAGACCACTCCCACAGGCTATTTAAACTGCCCCCAGAGAACGAACATGTGGTCTTTCCAGTTCCCCTTCAACCTCTCTGTGTTTTCCCGGAGGGCCACCGGGGAGGGCTGGCATCCATTAAACCTGGGCTTTTTCTAATTTGGTTTGATTTGGTCTGATTTGGATTACTTTGTCAGCGGAGAGGCTTGTCGGGCTGGAAAAAAACTTTACAGTTCCCAGTTGGTGGCATTGTTTGGGGAGCTGTGGAACCTTGAGAAGATGGGGCCTAACTGGCAGAAATCAAGACAGTTATAGACCTCTGGAGGTGATAACCAGACCACTGACTCTGGTCCTGCTCCCTGCTTCCTGGTCTGATGCATGCAAGGAGCCTTCATCAGGAACTTCCCTACACCTTCCCACTGTGCGTCACCTGCCATGATGGACTCAACCCCCTAAAACCACGAACCAAGATAAATCTTCCTACCATGCAATTGTTCTTACCTGGCATGATAAATCCCCACGGTGTCATACACCTTTTCCTCCTCTCTCTTTTTAAAATTTGCATTTATTTATTCATCTTTATACACTTCAGAAGTTGTCATCTTTCCTTCCACCAGGTAGGTCCTGGAGATTGAAATCAAGGCAAGCACCTTTACTGGCTGAGCCATCTGGCCAGCGCACTTTCCTCCTCTTCTTCCTCGGCCCTCCAAGACCCTCTTCTTGCTTAGGTCATAGCTGCCTACTGTGCTCCATGCTCCAGAGCTTTGCCACAGCAGGAACTGCAAAGAGGGTACAAGTGGGGATAACTAGGGACTTAGAATGAGAGGCAGGAACTACCACGATTCCCATCCTGTGCGCAGAGAGGAGCCCAATTGAGCCTTCATGCTTGCAGATCTGAATCCTATAAGCATGTTTTCAAGGGGTATCTCAAGGCCCTGCCTTGCTTATTCCTGTAAAACGACAACACTGAATCTACATATATACATACATGCATGCACATATACATGCATACAAATAAAAAATCAATCAAAAGAATCACATCTTCAGCCAAAGCAACAACTCCAATGACATTCTTACACTCCACGCAGGGTGACCAGAGCCTACTCTACCCCCCATCCCTTCCAGAGCACCTGGCCTATTGTCTCCAAAAGGTTCCATTCCCTACTTGGGTAGACCGAAGCAGACCTGTGTCTCCCAGACTGATGCTGCAGGATTATTGGTGATACTGGGGTAAACCACCACCATCCCTAATGACAACTGTACTTATTTTACTTTAAAAAAAATAAAAGAGGGGAGAACTATTTCCCAGAACATATGTAATCAAGTCGATTTCATTTTCTCATTGATTTTCAGTAGGATAATAGTTATCTGTTTCCAATTTCCCATTTAATTTTTTTGGAATCAAGTCTTTCCTACATACCATAAAAAAGTGTGTGTGTGTGTATGCACACGTGAATGCGTGCACACACACACAGACACCCATGTATACACTCAGCCATCAGTGTGTTTATGGAGACCAGAGGTTGATGCTGGGTGTTCTCTATTGCTCTCCATCTTTTTTTTTTAATTAATTAAGTTGGTGTGTGTTCTCTTGTGCACAGGTCACAGTATACACTTGGAAGTCAAAGGACAACTTTTTGGGAGTCTGGTTTTCCTCCCACCTTGCTTTGAGGCAGGCTCTCTAGGTCTTTCTGCTACTGTCCACTTTTGCAAGCTCCCAGTCTACTCTGTTTCTGTCTCCCATGGTGCTGCAGGAGAGCTGAGATTATGAATGTCCCGCACCACATCCAGTTTTTTGCATGAGTTCTGAAGATGGGACTTGGGTTGTTGGGATCTTATCCTTTAAGCCCTCCCCCTTTTTTTTCTGAGCCCTAGGATCTCCTTGCCTTTACACCTATCCCTCTCCCAAGAGTACAAAACATACCAACATGCCTTGTTTTTAGATCGGTGCTGGGTATCAAAGCTGGGGTCGTCATGCTTACACAATAGGGACTTTGCCCACTGACCCATCCCCCAGTCCTACAAGCCATAAAGGTTTATCCATGGCATAATTAAAATGGTAGTAGTCTCTGCTATATTAAAAGTAGTCATTTAGGGTGCTGGAGAGACAGCTTAGCAGTTAAGAACACTTACTACTCTTGTAGAGGAACCAAAGTCGGTTCCCACCGGTTCCCCATCAGATGGCTCACAACTATCTATGACTCCAGCTCCAGAGGATCTGATGTATTCTTCTGGCTCCACAAACACCTTCACTCACATGAACACATACCCACACATACACATAATTAAAAATAAAGTAAATCTTACAAAATAGACACTTAGGATCTGGGAGTCCATGGGTGGAGAAAGGCGTATCCTGTGTCCAGGGACAGGCTTCAGAAAGAAGAACCTCAGTAAGAAAGCCCTGTGGAGCCAAATGTGCTGGTTTGCTTCTGTAATCTCGGTACTCTGGAGTCAGAGGGTTTGCAACCAGTTTTAGCTACAGAGTAGGTTCCTGTCACCAAACAAACAAAAGAGAACCCCTAACGGAGAAACAGCAGACAATCATACTGAGAGACTCGTTGTTAAACGAGCAACATCACACTGTTCCCTCATAACTGTTCCAGCGGAGTTTGTGCTAATGACGTTGTGGCAAAATACCTGACATCTTCAAGCTATGGATGTGGGACTCCCCTCTGCATGGTTTATTACCATTGGTTAATAAAGAAGCTGCCTTGGCCTAGGGTAGGTCAGAATATAGCAAGGTGGAAATTCTAAGCAGAGATAGAGGAGAAACGAAGGCAGAGCCAGAGAGACACCATGTAGCTGCCAAAAGAAAAAGACGCTGCCAGAACCTTACCAGTAGACCACAGCTTCATGGTGATAAATAGATTAATAGAAATGGGTTAATTTAAGATGTAAGAACTAGCTAGAAAGATGCCTAAGCCATCAGTCAAACAGTGTTGTAATTAATATAGTTTCTGTGTGATTGTTTGGGTCTGAGCACCTGGGAAATGAAGGCACAGTCTCCACTTACTAGTTATAAGCTAGAAAGGTTTCTTTGGCTCACAGCTTCAGTGGTTTTATGGTTTCTGATCATGATTTTTGGGCCCGTGCTAGCATAGTTCATTATTGCAGAGGGGTGTGCCAGGTAAGGCAGTGAACCTCGAGAGGATCAGGAAGCAGGGTGCAGTGTGCTGCAAACCACCCAAGGCCTAAAGTCTCTCTCTGAGCTTCACCTCCTATAGATACTGCCACCTCCCAAGAGCACCACAGCCTTTAAACCAAGGGCCTTGGGGGAGCATTCACCATCCAACTATGGTTGGGCATAGTGGCACACACTTATGAACACAACACTTGGGAATCTGAGGCAGGAGAATTATAATGTCAGAACAACATGGGCTTCACAGCAGACCCCGTCAAAAAAAAAAATGAAGCAAGAAGATCCATATTATCGAAATGCTTACATGAGCCTTTCTGGAATTATCTCTCGGCCCTGTTGAATTGTTTAGTGCATAGGGTAATAATGCCTCTAGATTTTGGAGGCTGAGGACTCACTTTATAGGTGTACCTTCCAGAGTAGACATCCATTTTAAAGAATCAAAAAAATTCACAAGTATGAAAATATTTCTACAATAATATTGTAGTTGTTTAAATGAATTTTGGAAATGGAGTCATCCAGGAAGACATTTGTAAGTAACAGGATTGGGATTTAGAAAGCAAAATTGGTGAGATTCACTGGGAAAAACTAAATAGTTTCGTATGTCCCCCAGAAGGAGCTGAGGCTGTTTGGTAAACTGTTTCCATTTGCAAAGGGCTTAAGTGAGAGTCCCAGAGGACACTAGCTGCTGCTGCGGTACTGGGTACAGTGGGCTCTGCCCCAGTGCTCCGGTTTCAAGGAACAAAAAGTGACTGCACTTGGCTCCTGAAATGGAGGTGGGATTGTGTAAAGGTACAGACTGTCTATGGCCATCATCCAACAATCATTCGGTGCTCTTCCCGGGTCCGTGCAAACTCTAGGGTGTATCCGGACATACAGAAAGCTGAACCCTGTGCTTCCTGTGGGTGGGGGTGGGGCTTCATTCCACATGGAATGTTGCCCTCCCACCCAGCCATCAAGAGATGCAGAGGTTGATGGTGTTGGAGGCCTCACAGATACCTAACCTGCCTAAGTCTTATTTTATTTTATGTATCTATTTTGATTTTTCAAGGCAAGGTTTCTCTGTGTAACAGCCTTGGCTGTCCTGGAACTAGCTCTTGTAAATCAGGCTGGTCTTGAACTCAGAGAGATCCTCCTGCCTCTGCCTCCCCAGTGCTGGGATTAAAGGTGTGTGCCACCACCCCTTGGCTATTTTTTTTTTAATTTAAGAAATTCCACTACGTTTTGCCTGCTTGTATGCTTGTGCAACACAAGTGTATCTGGTGCACAGCGGGCAGAAGAGGGTGCTAGGTTCTCTGAAACTAGAGCTACAGACAGCTGTGAGCTGTCATGTGGGAGCTGGGAATTGGAGGGGCTGCTGGAGGAGCAGGCAGTGCCCTTAACCACTGAGTCATCTCTCCAGGCCCGGCCTTAGTTTTTAACTGTCTTTCTTACCGATGGAATGAGGACAACGATGACAGGAAGCTCACAGAAGCAGGAAGCAAGCATTGGGCACAGCCCATGCCGGCTCCTAAGTGTCGCTTCCGTGGCCCAATCAATGACCACAACTGATTCCATGGGCAGTGCATATGTCACACCTCATAGAATGAGACCCACTTAGTGCCACTGCCGTGTCTCAGGACACTTGGTAAAATCTGCATTCTTAACGCCATATGAGTTCGTCGTCTTGTGGGAAAACAGGACACTCTGGGCCAGAGATAGGATTTCCCTCGTTCTAGGGGAAGAATGCTGGCAGGAAGAGAAACCCAGGCACACAGTGGAAGATGGCCTTGTAGAGGCCTTTTGAATCAGGCACCGCAGGCTGTGGGGAGGTGGCTGTGATTCTGCTATTCCCTCCCACTGTGGACCTGAAGGCTGTGAAGTCCTCCCAGCCTCGCTCTCCAGGAAATCCTGGGAGGTGCCCACAGACCACTCTGCTGTGGGCATAGTGGACAACTCCAGGGCAGCTGCCCAGCAGGGGGCCATCAGTGCTGCATGGGGAGGGGAGGGGACAGCAGGGGATATTGTCCGCATTCAACAGTGACACCATGTGGCCCTGAGAGCAAAGCCAGACCAAGCAGCAGCTACAAGCTTTGGCTGAGGGTTGCTCAGTTGCCTCTTTAATGGCCAGGGTCACAGTGCTGAACTGGGTAAGCGTCCTAGGTAGGGTGAGGCGTTATAGTTACCACTGTGGGGAAAATCCAGGGAAGAAAGAATCTTTCTAAGTTAAACTGGTTGGAGACTCAGAGTGAAGGAATTGGGGAATTTAGGAGAATATAGTCTCAGTTTCAGCTCCAAGCTAGGCAACTGTTCCATGGTGGTATTTGGGGGGCTGGCTGTCACCCCAGATTGTGTGGAGCACTGAGGTCCCATTGTGAAAATGTCCCAATGCAAAAGAAGAGCCACCTTTCTCTGATCACCCTTGTTCCAGATGAGACCACTTTTCATCTTATTGTTGACGTCAGCCGCCGGCCCCGCCCCCTTCGCAGATTAGTCAAGACTAATC